CTCAATGAGATTGTTACCTTTATTTTACAGAAGAGATAATAGAGGCATAGAGTGCTTAGTATATCTGTCCATGATCACTCATATGGTATGTTTAGAAGTTGGAATTCAAACCCTGGTAATTTAGTTACAGATCACATGCTCCTAATCACAGTGTTGTTCTCTATATGAAGAAGTTATGCTAGTATTGGACTCTCATCTTTGGCGCATAACAGAAGACAGCCTTTTGTAAAAGCTTTCACTTGTCCATCACTGCCAACAGAGAGTACATCTTGGTATATGTAGGCATTCAGGAAATATGCTGCCTGAACCCTCTGAGGAAAATCAGTGAGTAGAAAGAGCTACTCAGAATTTACAGAAGTATTAACTGAAAACATTGTTTTAAAGAAAATGGTATGGGAGAAGTGAAATGTGTCATAGTGTGATGGCTTATTCGCTTTGATGTGGTCTCAGAAAAGTATCAGTGCACAGGTGTGAAAGAATGGGACATGCGACTGGATTGAGGACCAGAATGCCTTTTTTTTTGTAGTACCAGGGATTGAACTAAGGACCCTGTGCTTGCCAGGCAAGTGCTTATTCTACTGAGCTATCTCCCCACCTCAGAATGCCTTATATTAAGAAGAAAAGTCCACATTGGAAAATACAGCTAAACCAGTAAAATCAAAACACTACAGAAGAAGAAAAGCAGCTGATAAGTAGTAGAAAGGAAATGAAATGTGTGTAGGCCACCACTAACTGTGAATGAGCTGAAATGTTCCCAGAGTCAGGTGTTATTACACAGTTCAGTTGTATGCCTGTGTGTATGTTTCTGTTCAAAAACAGCAAAAGATTGAAAATGAATGATTGGGTAAAGACAAAGCAGGCAAATGCAAATGAAGTGGTAATGTTTCATAGCAGTGTAAAAAATGTTAGTATTAATGTCAAAGAAAAATTTAAGGTCAAAAATACTGAATAGGTCAAAGACAGCTATTACATATTTACGTACTGTAATCCTTGAAGATGTTAAAAACTGTTGTACTATTCAGTTGTAATTGGTACACATGGAAGTAGAGCAGAAGCTCCAAGAAATAGAAGTTTGTGGGTAGCTATGGGAATCTAAAATATCCCTTTTAGCAGGTGACATATCAAGATAAGACAAAACAAGCAAGCAAGGGAATTTGAATAATATAGTGAACAAGCTTGAGTTTTGGATTCACTCACAGTGGTGGCGAACCTATGTCAGCTGTACTGCAGCCAGCTGTTTATTATCAGGGAAAGCTCTGAAAATGTCAGCATCACCCTAGAATCTTATTTTTGAGAACATGTTTGAAGATATACTGTAGCCACATTCTGAGAGGGAAATTTAGTGAAGACTAAGTATGAAGTGTAAGAAATGGAATTGATCCAGTAGTCCTGGCAAGAAGTAAGATGATGAAAGTGGCCAGCTCACCCCAACTAGAACTGCAAGTTATTGGGATCCTGGAGTTATGCATAAAATAAAGGGTGACAGATTCTTAGAAATGATACAATACAGTGTAATTAGGAGACAGAAAACTACTAGGGACATGGGAGGAAACAGGCCCGTGGGCCATCTCCCATGAAAGGATAAGGCCACAAAAGAAGAGAAAAGGTCCCACTCCAAATGTGCAACAGTATTGAATTTCATGAGTTGGAGTATTTGATGAAGTACATGAAAGAATACATTTGAACTGTTTTTGTTTTTTGTAGGACCATACTATTTGGCTTTTAGAATAAATTTTGAAAGCGTAATTACTTTTTAAAGGGTAACATCTGGAACATCATCTCAATATGGTGACTCATAAATGCACTTTTAATTTTCCATTCAATAGTCATAGCCTGTTTAGAATTTGTTTTTCCTAGTCACTTTTGGTATTTCTGTATTTTATTTCTATCCAATTATTTTCATTATTTTTATTTATTTTATTTTATTTTTGGCAGAACTGGGGATTGAAATCAGGCCCCTGTACTTGCCAGGCAAGCGCTTATTCCACTGAGCCATTTCCCCAGCCCCCATTATTAGTTTTTATTAATTCTCTTGCTTACTTATAGTTTATCTTATTCTTAATTTGGGTACTTATTGTCAGTTTTGTTGTACTTTTAAATAATAAAAATAATTGAATTTTCAACTTAATGCTGACTTAGCTATGTCTCTCAAGTTTGAAGTGTTCCTGCTGTGTACTGCTAAGTAAGAGCTGTCTAACTGAACTTTCTGCTGGAAGGCAAATGCTATGTACCTCCAGTGTATAATGTGCTGACCACTACCCACATGGAAATATTAAGTGCTAGAAATGATTCTAGCTCCACTGAAGAAGTGAATTTTTATAATATTTAATTTTTATATTAGTTTTATTGAGAAAGAAGTAGCAATGAGACAGTTTCAAACAGGTTAGTTGGACAGTTACAATAATTAATACATTGCATATTGTTTTCTTTGTAGTTATTTATAGTACAAGTTATTCATACTGCAGACATGATATCTTGTCTATACATTGTTAGTTCAAAAGTTTTCTTCTCATTGAACTAAGTAGCTGTATATCTATGCTATTTTGTATATACAGATATATATATATTTTTTTTTTCACTACAAATTGGCCTTTCATTTATATCACCCTTTTTTGTTTATTTTTGTCAGAGATGGGTATTCCATTGCCATTCAAATACTGTAGGTGCATGAATTCAGCAAAGTAATCCAATATAGTCCAGTAGTCCATAATAGTAGTGGGTTATCCACAGGACTGGCAGTGTCAGAAGCTGTTGACTTGAGCTTTTTACAGCTCAACATATTAATATGGCTTTACTTTTTATACTTCATTTTCATACTTTTCTGCTGTATGGTTAAGACCAAGATAAAATGAGACCTATATAACAAAAAATGTAACTTTTTTATCTGACAAGGTCAGTCAAATCCCTTCAGGATTTACCCTGAAACTCCTTACAGCAGTTTGTTAGGGTAATAATATCATTAAGCTTCTCTTCTGGAGGGTTAACAACTTCAGTGTGCAGACCAAAATATTAGAGAAAAGGGTTACAAGGATAGCCAACATTGTGCCCTTAGCTCTTCAAGGTCAACGAGGACTCAGGACATAAGAGAACCTGTACTGTAACATCCTGTAACTCAGTGGTGTCCTAAATTTTCTGATCAAGAAGATTACAGGGTCACAGAGAAAAGTGATTAATGATGTAGAGTGTGCCTAAGGAGAGTCACATGGAGAGAAAACATTCTCTCAGGCTTTCACAGAGAGCAAATTGGTCAAGCAATGGCCGTGACTCATCTACATGCTGACACTGACAGAGGAGCTAATATTTAATTTCAACTAATTTAAATAACCACCTGTGGCTGGTGACAACCATATTGGATAACACAATTCTGGATAATCTCTATCATCAGTTTAAAATTTCTTCTTTGTTTTTTTTTTTTTTTTTTTTTTTAAGATACTGAGAACTGAACTAGAGCCTTAGTAGTAAAGTACATCTCATTTGAACTTGTATTCCTCTGCCTCCTATAGTGCTGGGATTATAGATGTGCAACACTAGGCCTAGCTGGGATTTTGTCTTGTATTGTTCTGTTTTCAGAAGAATCTTACACAATTTCCAAGAACCCATTTTTTGTTCAACTTTTTATTGATTTCGATCACAGTGAAATCTATAGACTATCTGCTTAAATGTTACATACATTTCTCAGTAATAATATATAACTGTTAATATATATGTTAATTACATTAAGATTTTTTTTTCAAATCAGTAGTGGTGAAACCATGTAACGTATGGAAATAATATCACTAGTCACTACGGTGGTTGAGCACATTTAATGACTATTTTAATACATGTAAAACACTTCATGTAATGTCTGGCACATAGAAATTTTTCAGTGTTAGCTCTTTGTATTGTACATGATAAAATTAATTCTCAAAAATGGCAAACATTGAATGGCAACACATTTTTATTAACATAATACAGCAGAATTGTTCTTAATCACTGTTTCTCATTTTTTATATTACTTGATTTCTTGCAGCAGAAGTAAATGAAATAACTAAATAGTCTATGGAGAAATAAATTACTTAAAATTCCACAGGATATGATTATATGCTTAGAAATTTTTTCTATAAACCAATAAAATTAATGTTCATTGGGCAGTGCAAACATAAGATAAGCACAAGAAAAAAGTTCTTTAATATTAAAATAATGAGGAATCAAGTCTAGAAGTAAGGAAGTATTTCTGTACTATTAAAATTACTTTCTTCAATTAGAATTTAGAGAAAGTTAAACTCGATCTCAGTAAAAGTAAGGATTTCTAAATTAATACATAAATTTAATTCAATTCCAGTTGAAAACTTAGTGGTTTTACTTACAGTATTCTAGGGAACTTCTAATTATATTAGAAGTTAAATACAGTTATCTTAAAGTTAATGTAGAAAGCATTTTTTAATAACTAAGAAAATAAACTATGTAGTACTTAATACAGAATACTTCTGCAGTATTCTTTCTCTCTTCACTGTAAACAGCAATTTTTATGGAGAGGGATGACAAGTAATGTTGTATAAGGAATATGCTATGTTTCATTTATCAAGTTTAATGGAAAAGATTTAATGGCTTTTATTCTAAAGTTGTAATCCTAGTTTAAACTATAATAAAAGTGTATTATCATTATAATAATAATCATTTTGGTGGTATTGGAGGTTCTATACAGAGTCTTCAGACTGAGCTACATCCCCAAGCCCTTCACTGAACTGCCCACAGTGGCTTTAATTTGTAATCCTGCCTCATTCTCCTACATTCTGGGATTATGTACAAGTGATATGCTGCCATACCTGGCTTATATTACTCATTAACTTTGGTTTTTAGAAATTTCTCATTTGTTTAATGTGCACTAAATAGAATGTAACTTACTTTAGCTTTCTTGAACTTTGGTGCTTTCTACAAAGGCAAGATTAATTTTTAGCTCAAAAATTCCGAAAAGAATTTTCTAAAATCCCTCCCCCCCCTTTTTTTTTTATCTTCTAAAGGTATGCAACCACTCATGTATTCAGTTCAGGAAGCATTAAATGCCAGACCATGGTGGATTCGTATGGGAACTGACATTTGTTACTATAAGTAAGTATTCTAGGAATAATGGGATACCAGCATACAAAATGAGGATATTAGCTTCAGTTTCACTGTAAAGGTAAAAGGTAGAATTATTATCTCATTCTTTGTATTGTAATGAAATGTGTTAATAAATCTGAATAGTCCTTTGGAATTTGAGATCTATACATCAGAAATAAAATGTGTATTGCAGACAGACTCAGATCCAAATTTTGTTTTCACCACTTAGTTATGTGTCCTTAGCTTTTTAAAAAGATTCAAAACGCTAGAGATTTCAATGAAAAATGAAATGAACAGTTGCAGGTAATAATTTGCAGCAAGTTTTTTGATTTTGTATAAAATATTCTTTTCACTTATTGTATGTTTTCGCATACAAATACTTGTCTCATTTTAATTTCTAAATTATTTGGATTGGAGATGTGTTCATAGTTACATTGTATCAATTTACACAGTTAATCTGTGACTTAAAATAGGTACTCTAGTAAATTCGAAATAAGTGCTTGATGAATTGAACTAGATCCTAATTCTAGATCTGGAAATAGCTAAAAGACCAAAACAAAAAAAAGTTATTTATTCATTAGATAATTGTAGGGTTCTTCAGCTGCACTTGTAAATGCCCTCGGTTTCTCACATCCCTTGCTTTTGATTGTTACACTTTTTCTGCACACATTTTGTTTCCAGGTAATTTCCATGGTTTGATCACCTTGGCTTCCCACCTCACCCTCTGTTGTTATTTTCTACCTAGAAGTTCCTCTGTAGTAGGTTTTGACTTGTAACATTGCACTTGATTAGCACTAATATCCCTTCTTTTTCAGCTTTGCCAGTTAGACAAAGATGACTTAAAAAATTAAATTGTTTTAATAGATTGTGACATGGCATTGGAAAAGTCTTTGGGTGCTGTTGCTTTCTGGGAATGAAAGTATTTCTTGGACTTTATCTCAGTAAGATTTCTTCCCTATTTTTTCATTAGCAAAATAAGTAGCAAACAAATGAGGAAAAATGAATAAGGGTAATATATAATTCATCAGCAATTGAATACATCTAATTTCTTTAAATGGTAGACTAAAAATAGTCTGTGATCATTTTTCTTATAGAGTAAAGCAGTGATGATCGAGAATAGTACTTGATCAGATTTTGGCAGAATTATTTAGATTATGAAAGGGTGATACAATATTTTTAAGGAAGTATTTTCATGCTTCCGTGCTTTTACACAATAAAAATCAATCAACGAATGCCTTTTCATAGTACAAAATGAATGATAACAGCACAGGTTGTTGTAGTTTATATAAGAATGGTGACAAGGTTTGTATTTAAAGTTTTGTTTTTTTCTCTTGGCTACTTCCAGATGTAGAATTGGGGTTTAGTTCAATTAAACAAACATTTATTAACCATTTTCTGTGTAACAGGCACTGTTCTACTTGCTTTCATGAAGGCCTAAGTTCAGATAATAAGAATTAAAGTCTATTTTTGTATTGTGTCCTACATTTTATGTTAGGTATGTTGTCTTTTTTTTGTGTGTGTGTATAGAAATACTGTTGATTTTTGAGTATTGGCTCCATTTATTTTTTAAAATTTTATTAAGAAAGAAATAGCAATGAGACAGTTTCAAAACAGGATAGTAGGACAGTTACAATAATTAATACATTGTGTATTGTTGTCTTCGTAGTATTCATAGTAAAGATGCAGACATGATATCTTGTCTAAACAGTATTAGTACAAATCTTCTCTTTGAACCAAGAGAAAGTAGCTGTATATCTATGCCATTTTGTATATAGATATATTATATATATATATATTTTTTTTCTTTTTTCACTACAAAATGGCCCTTCATTTATATCCCTTTTTTGTTTACTTTTGTCAGAGATGGGTGTTCTGTTGCCATTCAAATATTATAGGTGCCTGGATTCAGCAAAACAAGAAAAAAATGTCATAGGACTGTCCTGCTACAATGTTGTATATGGTTAGATTTCTAAATTTCTGCGTAAAAATATGTAATTGTTTATTTATTTTGTTTTCTATTTTTTTCACATTCTATAGTGATTTAAAGTTTAGCATATCAGTGACTGTTGAAAATACCACTTTCATGTTATGTCTAAGGCATTTGATATTCAGACAGATAGTGATGTTAAGATCAACTGCCTGTGCTGTAGAATATTGATATCATTAAGCCTCTCTTCTTTTTTTTTCCTCAAAGTTTTATTGATAAACACATAGCAGTGAGACAGTTTCAAATCAAATCAGACGTACAGTTTCAACAAATAATACACTGCATATATTCTTCTTAGTGGTTAATTGCTGTACAAGATGCAGACTTGTGATCCTATTTACAAACACC